CAAGAAACTGGATGCAACGGTGTAGTTTACTGTAGGAGGCCGTACGAGGCGATGACAACTGACATGCATCGTGACGTCGCTTACATTGTGACGTAATGTAAAATGGTTCGATTACGAGGGGGCACACTAGAATGGCGCAGTGACGGGATAACGTCATTCAATTGTTACGTCATCAAAAACTGTAACCTTTATACCTTTATTTAGGAGATAAACCTACTGTGTGGGAAAATCAGGGTATATAACGAAATTATAATAGCTCTAAATTTCATTTAAAACCGAACGCGTAGCGTGAGGTTTTAAATGAACAATTTAGAGCTATTATAATTTCGTTATATACCTCTGATTTTCCAACACAGTAGGTTTATCTCCATTCTACCATGACAATTTTATGAACAATTTCAGGTGGAGCTCTTTCTTTGGTTACGAGTCAATACGTGAAGCGGCCTCGCATTCCAATCTCAAGTGGTATCGCCCGAAACGGGGTGTTTGGTGGCAAACCGTCAATGACTAACAAACTCCAGATTCAGTAATAACAAATCACGTTTTGTTTTTTCAATGCATCAATCACCAATCATTAACTGATAAGTTGGAAAACATATATCAAATAAGTTTCAAAAGCTTGGTTCACATTTGAAAATTCCACCGTAGACCCTTTCCCCACCAGAATAGTGGCAGCAACCTCATGGCCTTGACCTTTTCTCGAAGTCATTGTTTACATTTGGAAAGATGCGACAGGAGAGCCACTGACAGTTTGCGCAAGGTTAACCTGATTGTATGACTGAGATAGTCTTTGATATCTAATTACTGGTACTGGTACAAAATTTAAGAGTAGGGGCGCTTTTGCTGTAACGAGAAGTCCGTGTTGTACCGAATTTAGATACTGTTGAATTTTGCGCCCTGTCAACTTGACGATTTCACGCACCTCTACGTCTGCGTGCGACAGCTGTGGTGACTCTTACACACTCATGTGTGTACTTTGTGCTCAAATTCGATTCTACGGATATTATTTTCTACATTTTGGAAAGTGTTTTGTGACCTAGTGGCTTCAAAGTGTAGTGAATTCAAATTGAATCGGATTGGCTGGCATGTTCGCGAGTCTGTTGACAAAGAGCCAGATTTGTGGTGATATTTCCGAAAGGATGGATCAGGACACGAGGGTGTACCTCTGGCATAAACACGGTAAGGTAATTAATTATACTTTAATAGACTACTTTAGATCAAGCAGTGTAATGGATAAGAGGGATCATGACTAAGCTAAATAACTTTTCAACGATATTATACATTTAGAAAAAAATATGTTGGGCTAAACAGAACGGTTTGCAGATTCTGTAGATCTAATTGTGTTTTACTACCGCTAAATTTGAAACAGTACAAATTTCAAAATATCATTTTGTTTGAATTGATAACCCAACTGTTTATTTATGTGGACGGAAGGCATTAGAATCTAAAATTTCTTCGGCGTTCGATGTTAATGCATCCTCCGTTACCGGATCAAGATCAGTGGCGATATCGTTGACGAAAGCTGATAATAAATTTAACACGGAAATTTTGTAGCAGTCTATTGCTGGATCTATTCTGACATAACATAGAATCAACGTAAACATATTTGTTTTTGCTGAATTTTTATTCGGAAAGCAGACGATGTTTTGATCTTGTTCGACTGAATATTTGTTTCCATGCTTTCGAAGTACTTTTGTATGTATAAACACCTATTGCTGTGATTTACGCAAGTAGTGAGTCGAGCCCGTCATCGCTAAATCCATCTTTAAAGACATATGTGTAATTTCCGACAGTAAAATCGCCGTAATTTATCGATGCATCGGTAGGTTGTTCGGTGTCCGCCATGTTAGTGGGCAGACAAAAATAGTGCATTACCGTAAACCATGTATGATTGCGCACGGAAAACAGAGACCTGTATAACGTGATTATATACCTCTGAATGACTTTAATTAACCAATCACAATCCAGTGTTTACTGAAGTCATGGTAGAATGTCTGATAATGTTTTTTTTCGATTGTTCTAACCGCTAGGCATCTTAGAACGAAATGTTAGATCATGAAACAAGATTTATGACGTCATTATGGAGCGTGACGTCACCTGCTGTGACGTCATTTGACAACAGAACTGATAATAGCCCGTAGTTGAGGAATCAGCGGGCCGCTCATTCCTGTAACTTGAAGGCTGTTCCATCATAATTCCGTCCATTTTATCTATAATACTATGATCAATTCATCATTGTCAGATTTAGTCTGTGTGCACATAATAAACGTGTGTAGTTTGAAAAGGGACTACTTTTTCTGGCGATGGTGTAAGTTCAAGGAGTGATATGTTTAACCTTTGACCTAGAGGAACTTTGACCTGGTTTAAATAATGAATTTCTTTCACGAAAAAACAGCGTAAAACGAGTTGAATTAGAATGGGGATAACTGTACTGTGTGTGACGGATTGGGGACGTATACCGGTGGTTATATAGCCGCAAATTTAACGTTATATCGGCTCCGCTTGCGCGTCGCCGATATAACTAAATTTGCGGCTATATAACCACCGGTATACGTGCCCAATTCGTCAAACACAGTACAGTTATCCCCTAAATATAACGATAAATAGGTAGATAACGATAAATAGGTAGATAACGATAAATATAACGATAAATAGGTAGATAACGATAAATAGGTAGATAACGATAAATAGAACGATAGATATGTAGGTAATGCGATAAATAGAACTAGACAGAACGATAAATAGGTAGATAGAACGATAGGTAGAATGATAGCTTCACTGAACCTACAAAAATATTTCATCAGAATTCGGGAGAGCTACAGAGCCTTGTGGTTGTACTTTCATCAATAGCATGATGTTAATCATGGGTAAGAGTTCCTTACGTACCCCCCACCTAATTTTTAACTATAAACTATAGACTAAACTATAGTGTTTCCAGACCAACCCTGTGATTTTTTTGCAATTTATGTCCGAAAAATAAAAAAAGTTGTTTAACAAACTGTCATTAAAATTTGGCACAGTTCACTAGTTGTTACGAGGGAGGGGTGCAAAGAGAGGAACAGCCAGGGGTGCGAGAAAGGATGGAGACAGCACAGCACAGGTAAATGATTCAATGACTTTGTAGGCCCTTGTGCACGTGCTACGCGTAAACCTGGCTGTTCATCTCTTTGCAGTCCTTCTTCGTAACAAATAGTGAACTGTGTCAAATTTTGATGATAGTTTGTTAAACAACTTTTTTATTTTTAGGACATAAATTCTGCAAAAAAAATCACAGAGTTGGTCTGATGTTTTGATTATGATCAGTGTTTCATTGAGTATTATATGTTTAGTAGTGTTCGAGTTAGATGGCAATTCATCGGTCCGATTTTGAGTCAAACGGACTATACCAACTCAAAGACCACCAATCTTAGCTGGTTGTAACTGAAGTTTGTCATATAAAACAAAATACAGCTATTGGCCAGGGAAAACCGCAGTTCGTTATATCCCTGAGTTCTTTATATCCCTGAGTTCGTTATATCCCTGAGTTCGTTATATCCCTGAGTTCGTTATATCCCTGAGTTCGTTATGTGAGTTCGTTATATCCCTGAGTTCGTTATGTGAGTTCGTTATATCCCTGAGTTCGTTATATCCCTGAGTTCGTTATGTGACTTCGTTATATCCCTGAGTTCGTTACATCCCTGAGTTCGTTATGTGAGTTCGTTATATCCCTGAGTTCGTTATATCCCTGAGTTCGTTATGTGAGTTCGTTATATCCCTGAGTTCGTTATGTGAGTTCGTTATATCCCCTGAGTTCACTTTAAGCGTGTTCTCTAATAACGTAGTTAACTGAATGAAATATAATTTGTCGTCGGTATTTTCGTGGAGAACAGCCATCTCAGAAACGTATGCATATTATGTCAATATTTAACAGCAAGCTTAAAATGAACAATGCTCACTGCACTGAATACGCACGTCAAAATGACAAAATTGTGAAATGTTTTCTGGCACACCCTAAACGACGCACACCTGACCTGAATAAGGCACGGTTTATTCGTGAAATAAGGTGCGCTGTGAACATCCAAGGGGAATAACTCATATCGAGAAACATTTGCGGATATGTCGCGATAAATATTTCAGTCGGGTGATATCGTCCCCTCGTTGCCCCGTGCAGAAAGGCCAACACAACCAAACATTATGCAGGGTATTTTGCAGATAAGCAGGAAGTAGCAGATTTGTTAGAAGTTGACAGGATCTCGATGACAACAATGACGCGAGTAAGAAAGCTCGAGCAGTGTCGAAATCTCGTGACGTCTGTCGCGCACTCGTTGCGTATAAATGAATGTGTGACGTCACGAATCTATTTCTGTCTAAAAGGTATATAAATAGATGCGAGTATATATAAGGCAAACTTATTTCAGGATTGGTAACATTTTTGACGGAGACCTAGACCAGATCAAATTATACCATGACCTGCACACTTAAGGTACTGTATGATGGGGGATAGCACGTTGTAGTTGCACGGTGTGTGTGCGTGTGCGTGTGTATGTGTGTGTGCGTGTGAGTGTGTGAGAGAGAGAGAGAGGTATTTACAGTTTTCTCTTGAACATATAATTAGGGGGATACTCCCAGCCCAGCCAATGTAGTAATATGGAGTATATGTTTAAACTTGGTCTTTATGGCTGCAACAATGCCGATGCGCCGTGAAATTTTAACTAATATGGAAAATCAAACTTGAATCGAAATTAATAAAGACACATCCTTTAATACAAGTTGATGCTCTGTGTTGTTTCATTTACACCTATTTGTTTTCTTTGCTGGTGAATATGCCTTTTACCCTCGGGTGATCGCTTCCTCTGACTTTAAGAGTAATGTTTTACGCTCCGTACACACCAACGAATATGAATTCTTTCGTTTACCTAAAATAACAACTTATTCAATTTTGTTTCACACGTTTAGCACAAAATGCATGATCATTTTTTATTCCATTTTCCATATTTATCAAGAACTTTCTTCTTTTTCAGCCAACCGTTTTCGCCACGGAGCCCTTCAACCCCGAGCAGGCAGCGGATGCTATGAGGAAAGCCATGAAGGGTCTGGGTAGGTTGTTGAAATTAATTTAGTAATTTTGTAGTCATCAGCATTTTCATAATTCTCTTGGGTGAGCTGTTGGCAACAGTCGGAGACTCCTCGGGTCTAGTCTACAGGAGTCCCATCTGTACTAGACATTGGGTTGGTGAAATGTTATCGGTGGCGTGGCTCTGTTAGTCCATCCCACTGTAACACGTTATATTTGGGATTACACTTTCTCAGGAAAGTACAGATATCATATTGTTTGGTTGTGTTCTATCCAGGATTCGAACCCACACTCTCAGATTCATTCACCTAATCGCCAGCACACAAAGTCAGCTGGCTAACCCACTGACTCACTTCCACAAACATACAGAAGTCTGACAAATGACAGTCAAATTACCACACCTCTGACCAGTGTATGTTGTCACGGCACCCATGGCCGAAAGGTGAAAGGTGTCAGATGTAACTTATGTTATGTTTGGGATGACACTTTCCTAGAGAGGTACAGACCCTAGTAGAGCCCCATCCGGGATTCGACCCTACAGTCTCAGAGTCAGGCACCTTATGGCCGGTACAGCGATTGTATATTTTGCATATTCAAGACATTTATTGGGGGATATTATGAGTTCGCATGTTTAAAAGTAAAAACTCGATACTGATTTCTGATCATGAAGATCCGGGTTAGCATTAGTCTTCAGTAACCCATACACATTCTAGACTAAAGTCGCTGCGGTACGATGTTATCAATTTTGAAATTTCCAATGTAAAGACGATGTACATTTCATCTGAAACCGGACACTGACGGACATTCATCCGAAACCACAGTACGCTTATCACAGCCCCAGTCAATAATACTGAACAGGAATGTCGAAAGCTTATCGTCAACACTGACTAAATTCTGAGCAGAAATATGATTTTGCACAAAAATTTATCCTGAATATTTTGTTATTGCATCGGAACACTTGATAAGGGAGTAAACGCGAACTATTTCACGGCGCTTCAAACACTTGTAATGACATGCATATTACTAAGTTACCTGAGTGAACGATGGCGCCTTCAGCTATACAGGGTATGTACACGTAATACGACCTGGTGGGTGCTTATCGATACACCTTAATTACTGCTCCATATCACGTGCTACAAGAATAGTCCGGAGTTTCGGGGTGTTATTGTCTTCGACACGGAAAAGGAGAAGGATTCGCCTAATTGACCCAGCTTAAAAGTCTGACTGTTTTCCGTTCGAAGGTGTTACTAATTCCGTCATCCTACCCCGACGGAACTGAAAGATACGTCATATCAATCCAGTGCCAGTTATATTCACACAGATCCCTATTGTGATTCCAGGTTAGAACAGTCCCTCAACACCGAGGTCTGGTTGCAATTACAGTCAACTCTCGTTAATCCGACACTTGTGGTTGCAGAGAAATATGTCGGATTAACGGAAATGTGGGATTAATGAAAATGTGGGATTAATGTATTTGTGTGAAAATATCAATGTTTACTTAATGTCATGATCGTCATACTGTTGCATGCATATCAGAAATGGTAGATCTAGTTATCTTCATCGTACGTTTTTTACAATGTATTTACAATAATCAGTAGCTAGATTGGTGTGTCGGAGTCGGAATGCGAGAATGTCGGATTAACGAGAGTAATTATCACTGTTTTAAATGGTTCCCTAATTTTTTGTCGGATTAACGTGATTGTCGGATTAATGAGTGTCGGATTAACGAGAGCTGACTGTACTCGATTATTTACATACCTCCGTCATATAGATGGCGGTTATGTTAAACAACAAACAGCAGTCGTAATTATGAGGAGACATTGTGAGTGAGTGAGTGAGTGAGTATGGTTTTACGCCGCTTTTAGCAATATTCCAGCAATATCACGGCGGGGGACACCAGAAATGGGCTTCACACATTGTACCCATGTGGGGAATCGAACCCGGGTCTTCGGCGTGACGAGCGAACGCTTTAACCACTAGGCTGTCCCACCGCCCCAGGAGACATTGTGAATCGAATGACTTGGCTTGGTTGATGGTGTCATCGTACCACGGCGGCGTATCCCCGTTGCTCATAATGTCGATCACAGTTTTGTCTCATCCGGATTTGCCGTCATGTACTTGGAATAGAGCGGCGTTGAAGCACATAGAAAAAAAATGATCCAAATTACATAACTGACATTCAAAACCAGCTGAATGTAAAGATGATCTTGTTTCTTGGTTTCTTTAACTCCACACTCAGCAGTATTCCAGCTATATGACGGCGGGTCAGACAATCCAGTGATTGACATCATGAGCATCGATCTAGACAAGTCCTGAATTGCAATCATTTGTTGCCAGGTACGGACGAAGGAACCATCATAAACATAATGATGACCCACGACAACAGACAGAGGCGGGAAATTGAGAAAACGTTCAAAACCATGTTTGGAAAGGTAACCTATTACCTTGCTTGCCCGGTAGCCCTAGTGAAATTCATGCAAGTGAAACCTAATGTTTAATTTGTCAGGGGAAGTAACTCTTTATCCTTGTCTTCTTTTTCTGTACTGCGGCAGTAAAAGTTCCAATCCGTCATCGAGAAACACGACCACATAAAATACAAGAATAGAACTTGTTGCCTTAACATTCTAAATGTTCTGAATCAGATATATTCGAAGAAAATAGACATAGGCCTCTCCTTGAAGCTTTTACAGGACCAATATTCTGTCCCCAGCAATAATCCCCACCCAAGTATGAAATACATGTATGTTATATGACTCCTAGGATTTAAAAGCAGAGCTGAAGTCGGAACTGAGCGGCAGGTTTGAGGATGTGACTCTGGCACTGTTGGAAGCCCCCAGGACATTCGACGCCAAGGAACTCAAAGGGGCAATAAAGGTATGCTTATCTCCAGGGAACTGGGTCGGTACTGGGTTGCATCCCTTACTAGGGCTAGGATATGCTATCTTCGGTTAAATCCGATGTTCGTTACGATTTGTATTCTGTATTTGTGTGAACCATGTCACGTTGCCTCGTTGATGTAACTTGAAAACTATTTAAGGCTGTGTTAAGTCAAACATGCCCACAATGTTAAGATGGAAAGTCTGATTATAACAAAATTATACATCGGTGTTGAACCCATTCACTATGGTCACTTTTTCTTGTTTCATGGAGTTTCTGTTTGGAAAGCAAATGCAGTATATAGCTAAGACAAATTGCTTTGGTAAAACGAACCAAATAGTTTTTAGATCATAAAAACTAGATTTGCAAGTGGAGACGTCGAATACAATGATATCATAATGATATCATATAGTCCACGAGTCCTTACTTTGTTTGTATATATAAGTGTATGCTGTGACCTGTCTATATTTCCTCTCTTTAGGGAGCCGGTACTGACGAGACAACGCTGATTGAGATTCTGTGCTGCCGAACTAACAAGGAGATCGAGGAAATCAAGGCGGAGTATAAACGATGTAAGGTTTTTTTCATATACTCAGACTGGAGCACACGGTACCCTATGTGCCTTGAGTGGTATCGGGGTTCGAATCCTATGTTCTTGGTTTGCCTGCACCATGCGATGCTGTCTTGCGTGACGATTCATGTCAAAATTGATCACTCGTAATCCATGCCTGTCTTTAGGGTTTGTCTGTTAGAAACCCAGGAGGATATAAAAAAAAATGAATCCAACTCCAGTCCAGAATGATTTGGCAACTCTAATTAGCCCGAGCTTATGTGGGAAGAGTATGTCTTTACAACATCCAGCGTGTGTGTTTCAGTGTATCAAAAGGACCTTGAGAAGGACATCCAATCAGATACAAGCGGTCACTTCAAACGCTTTCTGACGTCACAAGTAACAGCCAATCGATGTAGCTCTACGGAAGTGAACCCTAGCGACGCCCTTATCGATGCCCAGGAACTAGTCAAGGTGACACCAAATACTAGTAATTCATGTATTAACGCTTTTATCACGCAATACGTCTTGCATCCGTGAAGATGCGGTTTAGAATTGCAACCAGTGATTGTCGTAAGAGGGGTGGTCAGACTTGCTGGTTTGGTTGACACACGTCGTCGTATCCCAACTGCGTAGATCGATGCTCATGATGTTAATCACTGGATCGTCTGGTCCAGACTCGATTATGTACAGACCGCCGACATATAGCTAGAATATTGTCGAGTGTAGCTTTAACAAACAAGCAAACAACATATCCTGTACAATTATTCTAAGTCATTATATTGCCATACCGTATTTCCTCAACTCATCGTCGTATGTAGATTATACACCGGGTATCTACTATACGCCGGGTATTTCATGCCTGGATTTCCCGCCATTATTACCGTGACCTTTCCGTTAAACCACGGGGATGGAGTTTGTCCAACAAAAATGTGTGTCTGGGCGTTTAATCGAGGAAATATGGAAACGTGGTATGGTAGTCCTAAAGCTGTCACAATGCGTTTTGAGTAAACCCACTTAATGGTACCAGGATCCAATTATCAGGTGTTCGAGTCTATTCCACCCTGAGTATTATCCGTGTTCATACGCATGTTAGTAGATTTTACAAAGGTGGTAAACTTTCGGGACAGTCAACACATGCGGCCAGATAACACAAAGACACATTGACTCTTTGTGCAAATACTCGGAGTGAACTTCTAAAAATGTTCACTGGTTTTTGTTTAGTTATTGGATCTTGTAAATGATTTAAGTAATGTCTCGGATAAACAGAACATTTTTGTGTGTATTCGGAACACAGGGATGAGCACAAAATTCTTTCTCTATACTATTTATATATTTCATGAATGAAAAGGGGAGCTTAAAACCTACATGAAACATAACACATTCTCTAGCTCACTAACTCACCTTAACACATTAACTCACGCTCTAACCACTGAAACTCACTAACTCCCTGTATTCCTACTGGCAGGCCGGCGTGAAGAAGTTGGGGACTGACGAGTCTGTATTTAACCGCATCTTGAGCCTGAGAAGCTACAACCAGCTGAAGGAGGTGTTCAAGGCTTACCAGATGGCCTGTGGGGAGGACATAGAGACCTCCATCAAGAAGGAGACCAGCGGGCACCTGGAGCAGTCCTACCTCTCTGTCGGTCAGTGACTCTGTGAATATATATATCCCAGTTGGTCAGTGAATATATATATCCCAGTTGGTCAGTGACTCTGTGAATATATATACCCCAGTTGGTCAGTGACTATATATATCCCAGTTGGTCAGTGACTCTGTGAATATATATACCCCAGTTAGTCAGTGACTATCCTTAGACCTCTCAGTCGGTCAGTGAATGTCTCTGTCGGTCAGTGACTCTGTGAATATATATATCCCAGTTGGTCAGTGACTATCCTTAGACCTCTCAGTCGGTCAGTGACTCCCTGTAGATCCATCACCGTGTCGGTCAGTGACTCTGTGAATATATATATCCCAGTTGGTCAGTGACTTTCTGTAGACCTCTCAGTCGGTTAGTGAATGTCTCTGTCGGTCAGTGACTCTGTGAATATATATATCCCAGTTGGTCAGTGACTATCCTTAGACCTCTCAGTCGGTCAGTGAATGTCTCTGTCGGTCAGTGACTCTGTGAATATATATACCCCAGTTGGTCAGTGACTATCCTTAGACCTTTCAGTCGGTCAGTGACTCCCTGTAGATCCATCACCGTGTCGATCAGTGACTCTTTGTGTTGATGCATGTTACTTACAACCGTTCTCATGTTATACGTTTTCATCATTTCTTATGATTTTATTACCACCGAAACGTATCGGGCTACAATGTTGATCTTTGTAGTGGAGTACTTTGGCTCGTTTTGAGCAAAACCTCACGAACATGTATGTAGCAGATTTCCACTCCGTTCATGCCTGTGGCTGTTTAAGTACAATGGACCCGTGAAGATCCGGGGTAGAATAGGTCTTCAGCAACCCATGTGCTTGCCATAAAAGGCGACTATGCTTGTCGTAAAAGGCGACTAACGGGATCGGGTAGTCAGTTTCGATGACTTGGTTGACACATGTCATCGGTTCCCAATTGCGCAGATCGATGCTCATGCTGTTGATCACTGGATTGTCTTGTCCAGACTCGATTATTTACAGACCGCCGCCATAGAGCTGGGATATTGTTGAGTGCGGCGTAAAACTAAACTCACTCACTCACTTTAAGTACAATGAGTTTTACCTTGACTTTCCTTCATTTTGTAAGTGAGTGAGTTTGGTTTTACGCCGCTTTTAGCAATATTTTCCAGCACTATCACGGCGGGGACACCAGAAATGGGCTTCGCACATTGTACCATGTGGAGAATCGAACCCGGGTCTTTGGCGTGACGAGCCAACGCTTTAACCACTAGGCTACCCCACCGCCCCATTTTGTAAGTGAAGATGCGGAAACACTTTAATTGTAATGAATAGGGTATGTGGTAAATGAGTTGACATTGAGTTGTCTCCCTTGCAGTGAAGCTGGTTCGGAACACGCCTGCCTTCTACGCTGAGCTGCTGTACAGGAGTATGAAGGGCGCCGGGACAAAGGACAAACACCTCATCAGACTTGTGGTGTCCCGCTGCGAGGTGGGCTTTTACCCATACGTGGACATTATCTGAAGAACACTCATATATTGCCGGCTTCTAATTGGAAGTATTGCCCTCAGTAAACCCAGCATCAAGTTTTGCCTTTGTTCGGAGCAAAATAACCTAAACCCAATATGATTTTTAAAAATTCACCCAGTCAGGTAACATTGTTTTTCTCGTTGAAAAATCAAGACGGGGATGGATTACCGGTGAAAGTTCTACCCGTTTCTAACATTTTTGGTTAGATGGTTCCTATATGCAGCTATTAACGAAAACGGCTTTGGTTACCTTTCCAAACATATTATTTAACTTTGATATTGAAAAATGAATATAATCAACTAATATTTACATTGTTTTCAACATTTTGGCGTTGATGGAAGTGTAGTCGTATTAGTAGCAATCGTATTGCGATTTGCAGTATGACGTCATTCGAGTCTTATTGTGACGTACTGTCATGAAGACGTTTTGACTAGAAACAGCATCACAGCTGAAGATGGCGGTCGTTATTTAATAGTTGTGGTTTTCCAGAATGGCTATCATTATCAGTGTCTGTTTGTACAGACGAGCTCTAAATGGTTAACAAAAATATTGAATAATAATTTACGGGTGTAATTCTGGTTAAAGAAGAATATTTGATGAAGGTGGAATGAAATTAACTATCCTTATTGTAATCGGTTTGACCGTTGGAAATGACCTAATCCCTCTTTATTTCAGATCGATATGGGATTGATAAAGGAAGAATTTGAGCGTAACTATGGTAAAACGTTGGCTAGCTTCATCAAAGGGGACACAAGTGGCGATTACAAGAAGATTCTTCTGGGTCTCATCGGAGAAGCGTGATGACGTCATCATACAGTGTACGTCATAAAGCACATGACGTCATTTCATCATACCACGACACAATTAATCCCACAAGTTCAACCTCTTGGATGAGTTTGTAGTCATTTGTCATACCTAACGAGCAGTCATCATTAGTGAAAGTGAACAGTTTGTGAAAATGGAACCATTTGTTTGGAAGTCTTGGAAGTATATGCAATATTGTTACTATGGAATCATTACTACACGTTACTCGTTGTTATACAGAATCGCTTTGTGTATATAACATTTACGTAGCCACGATTTCGTTGAAGACACAGGTATTTTCCACTGGTATTGTGTATCATCATCAATGCCCATTGTATGTTATCTGTGTTCTATAAAGATAATTATCATGGACCTATTCGCCCCGTTCTGAGTTTTCCTCGGAGAGCACGGCCCTAAGTGGTCGTCCGTTGTTCGTTTACTGATTCAACATCGGCGATATACACGCAAACTCACCATGTGCTTGTGCGCCGTCTCAAAATCACCCCGTTTGTCTTGTTACATAAGAACATGTGTCAGTATTCACGGCTATCTTTTACAGTTTAGCGACAGGGGTCTCACGCAGTTTGAGTTCAAAATGTTCAATGTTGGTTTGCGCCAAACTCAGAAAAGAAATTTTGATTGGCTGTTAGTTTTAGGTAATACTTTTGCAAGGTTAATTATAAAAGAGACGGGGAAACGAATCAACGATGGCGAATGGGTCTAATGTTTTAAATACAGTATACAACACCGGGTAATGTAGAATATGTAGAATATATACTCTTAATAAATAATAGGGGAACCTGAACTTTCAATTTAGATAGGAAGTATAAACGTTAACAAACTTTTCAAACACAGACATCTTATGAACGCACCACCATTTGTCTTTATCACCACCCCTAAACAGAACGCATGGGATGCACGTGCACTAAGCAGTAGCCCCCATACACGTGCATGGGGTGTCATTCTTGATATTGATGGTTTTCAAGAAGGTCCATAAATCACTGTAGAGCATTAATTTTGACAATCAGCTTGCATCGCGCAGTTGTTAGTGTTTGTTTCTAACCGGGTTTGTTTTGGTTAGAAAATGAAAATCGTACACATGCATATTTCACCTTTCATCTTTCAAGAGCGATTACTGTGCAAACAACTATGGTCATAATGAAGTGCAAGTGGTGATGCTCTCTCAAAACATTAAGTATTATCGTATCAACGTTGTTTTTTATTGATTTCGATATATCTCCCAAGTTTTTCAATCGTAAATTAAAAATGAAATTCCCCTATTTTTTTAAGAGCATATAACACCTTGATTAATTGTACAAAATGCATATAGATTTCGATATATCTCCCAATTTTTTCAATCGTAAATTAAAAATGAAATTCCCCTATTTTTTTTAAGAGTATATAACACCTTGATTAACTGTACAAAATGCATACTGGTATTTCGGACAACACAACAACAATGGTAACAATACCGGAGGGTGATATTTGGACCGTACATATGTGTACAGTAAACTTTCCTTTACAAATCAGCACTCAGAAAACTTTGAATCATTTCGTTTATTTAATAATTACAGCCCTCAGACTTTTTTTAAACCACAAAAATATATCTTCTAAACCAATACAACAAATGACTGTTTGTTTGCCGTGACCCTCGACTGGACAGCATGCGTGGACAGAAATGACCCGACCTAGCTTGTCAACTTCGTGCTTTTCAAAGTGACGTCAAACTTCATTTTAAGTTTGCCCCCTTTTTTTTTGCTTTTTTTTTTCGCTTTGCTTCATGCTAGGCCGGTATTTAACAACCGTACAAGATGTAATTTGTTATGTACATATCCATGTTAAATAAATATCGACTTCAGTTTTTTGGAAGACATTGTTGGAACCTTCTACTGAATTACAACCAGTAAAAACAGGAATTTCAACTCCACTGAACACGACAAAATATATTTTCAAAATGCACAACAAACTTTGGCCGATTTGTCAGGGAATGTCAGCTGATGTCAGTTTATGCCAACCAATGACTTCAGATGACAAAACCTTTTTCCTTGCAGTTTAGAAACACCCGTACAGAACGATTCCTTTATAAGTTGCTGGATGGAAAGTAAGCACTCTCCTTGCAACTGTGTTTCCTCAAGATATGTGTGTATGAATGACCTGGTGATTGTATTTGCTGTTGCTGTTTATATTTTTCTGCTGTTTGTGCACTTTTTTAGAATGCAGAGTTATTAAAATGTAACAATTTGGTCTCCATATTGCCGGTGAACTAAAAATGGTTATTTATTCGGCGCCGAAAATGTTTACTTTGAAATCGCTCCATGGACAATGTATACACAAGCCCCACTTTAATAAGTCTACCACGTAATGATAAACGTGCACAGGAAACAGCGACACATGACAAACGGGACCTGACACCGACCAACTCAACATATATACCGCACGTGTCCCACATGCCAATACGGGTAGTACGGTGTGTTAGGCGTTCGCTCTGCATCAGAGATCAAGGTTCGATTCCCCACATCGGTTTGAAGCCAGTCATTGGTGTTGACGAACCCTGCGTAGAACCATACCAGTTTCTGTGCACAATTCTTCTGTTATATCCTGGTCACATGCTTGGCACACTTCCCTTGTTATCTACTAGTGTGTTATTTGTTATATTTTTTATTAATTATATACTTATTGGATATTGTTCTTGACACGATGTACATTCCAGCTATGCTATAGCGTATATTGATCTAACTGATTGGGTAGAATGTTTGAAGACGTTTGATAGTGACAAAGCATTATACAACTTGTGTAGTGGATATCATTCACATCACGGTACTCCGACACCTTTCATGAATGTCGTGTTAGTCCTTGTGGAGTTTACTGATATCGAGTAGGTCAGTTCTAGCTTTTATATTTAGAAAGAACACTCAGGTATGGAACCATTAGAGTAGCAGTATTTGCTGTGCATGTATAGCAGAGGCCCACATCGACAGCTGAATATTTACCACGTGGATATCAAGTGCATGCATTATCACAGTAGGAGTTATCGAACTTGGCAACATCAATCGGAACATCCGTTTGAGCTGGGGGAACAGGACAGATACCGTTGCCGAGATATCTGTCGTTCCCTCTCGGCTATTATCGACTGTCATGTGTCAGTGGAATTTTGGTGAGCCCTTTGGTCACATCTCGATAAGTGTTTAATATTTTGGGTGATTCGGAATATATCAAACGTGGCCATTTGTGTCATACCGAATGTGTTCCTTTAAAACGCCTAATGAAGATTTCGTCATTCGGCTTGTACCGAGAAAATCACAAGATGGCTACGAGTGGTAACTTCCGGCTCTCCTAATTTAAAGTTCTTCGGTTTATCCCAGAATTGACTACTTTGCAATGGTCAAAGCTGGGTAACCGGAAGTCTCCTGTTCTGATTGCGTCATGGGTGTGCGAGAGCCCCCTGGCGACGGGTTTGCTTAGGTTACACCTCCTGTCACAAGATGGTGTAGAAATATTCTATTCTTCAGATTTAGCACTCGTTTTACTCACTGTTAACATACCTCGAACCATCGTGACTATCCGTGTCTTTTCGGGACCGTCCGGAAAGGGGCGAGTGGGGACGAAGTGGCCCGAGTATCAGGTCTGTTGTTAAATGCATCACTTTGTTTTACTATACTATTACTAATTAAATCTTTTCTTACATACTGTTTGTGCTTTTCTATCCTTAACACTTGGTTGTCAGAAACCTATTACCCTTCAAACGTAAAATACCAAAAGACGCAGGAATGCTGTCTACATACTGCATCTGACAGGGCTGGACATGACACACATGAACTCGCATTAACGTCGGCATGATATGTGCAATGATGTGGAACGCGACGATAACCCCATCTGACGATAACCCCATCTGACCACGCCACACCTGTGTAGTCCGAGGTCCACCACTGCGAGACCGAACTTGCGTAGAATCGGTTCGTTGATATCAGTCCCATAAACGACTGATGGTACTCTGGTGAACACTGAGGTGACGTGCAACGGCAGACTGAAACTACCCAGCCACCAAACGTTCAATGGCGTTGATTCTATTTACAGCAGTGACTCCCGGCATAACGACATTCTTTCATTTAGCTAAAAAAATGCCAATGGCCGTCTAAAAGCAAAACTGCCTTATATAGGCAATGTCAAAGCTCAGGATTCCTCAGAACTGCGCGTGTACATTGCAAACCACTTTTTCTCCAAGACATTTTTATGCAAGTTGACACTTTCGAACGTAAACGTGCAAGTTTCCGAAGATGCGTTTTTGCCCTGTGCATTCGTTCCATGTACACAAACGTGCATTATAATGGCGAAATTATAACAATTAACACTAATTTTGAAAATTATAATATCATTTGAAATTTCATATATCAATATCACCCATGCGTTTCTTTTTTGGTGAGTATATATCAGCTTTGCGTGTTGGTTGTTAACCGTTGAAAATTCTATATCCATATTGGGAACTTCCAGCACTGATTAGGGTCGGTGGGGTAGCCTAGCGGTTAAAGTGTTCGCCCGTCACGCCGCGTACACGGGTTCGATTCCCCACATGGGTACAATGTGTGAAGCCCATTTCTGGTGTCCCCCACCGTGATGTTGCTGGAATATTGCTAAAAGCGGCGTAAAACATACTCGCTCAGCACAGATTAATCCAGCTTAGTATAGAAGTTTCTAGAAGCACTATTAACTGAACTGAACAGTAAATATACACACTTACTATGACGTGTTGTTTTGTGGTTTCAGGCATCATGGTAATAATGGTAATGTCAGAACGAGTTCATACTTAATGAGGAGTCAGTAAAATCCCCACTAACATGGCCCTTGCGGCAGAATTTCTGCACAAAACATTTTTCTGTTCGTGTTACGCCCGACCAAACCACACTGGTGCGCATCTTTTTGTAGAGTGATGAACTGTCGACTATTTCCTCAACAACTCCTCCCCCACCGCTCGTGTGTGATCTGTCAACCGTGCCAACCCTTCCCCACCACCCACGCCACCCTGGTGTGGGAATTTTCCGGCGTGCCACCCCTTCCCCACCCCACTATCGGGTGTGAACCGTTCGGCGTGCCAACACTTCCCCACCCTACCCTGGTGTGTGAACTGTCCGGCGTGCCACCCCTTCCCCACCCCACCCTGGTGTGTGAACTGTCCGGCGTGCCACCACTTCCCCACCCCACCCTGGTGTGTGAACTGTCCGGCGTGCCACCCTTCCCCACCCACGTGTGTGAACTGTCCGGCGTGCCACCCTTTCCCCACCCCACCCTGATGTGTGAACTGTCCGGCGTGCCACCCCTTCCCCACCCCAGCCTGGTGTGTAAACTGTCCGGCGTGCCACCCCTTCCCCACCCCACCCTGGT